GCCACACATTGCTGTGGCCCATTGTGGAGAAATGGGAAAGAAAAGAGGAAGAGCTGATTTCTAAGCTATCAATACACAACAGAAGTGGTAAAGTGTCAACCTAATATAGGCCCAATTCAGTCTCCTCGAGGCCAAAGGGTTATATGGATGTGTAGAAGGTCCCTGGGTTACCTGAGTCCACACTGGCATATAACCCAGTTCAAAGATATTGTATAGGTGTTGTTGTTGTTGTTATAGACATATAGATATTACTATAGGCATATAGATATTATTATTATAGACACAAATATTATTATTAAAGGTATATAGGTATTATTATTATAGATGTTTTTTATTTCATATCAAAACATTATTATTATTTATAGTATTTATATACCATCTTTCTCACCCCTGGGGGGCTCAAAGCATTGCACGATCTTCATTGTAATATAATACAGTTCAATCTGCATTATAATGACAGTGTAGATTTTTGGAAAGGCATGACCTTTTAGAGATCATAACCTCTTGGGAAACCAGAAATCTCCATAGTCTTTTGGAAGTGGGACTCTTTCAGAGATTAATTGGCAGTCATACTATTTGGAATCATCATCACCCTTTTGTGAAGTGTGATCTTCTTGAGAAGAGTTAAATACTCATGTGAGTTAATCTTCTCCTTAGTGGTAAATATCCACTAGTATTAATGCAAGGCAATTTAGGCTTCTCAGGGTCATTCCACTCAGCTATATAACCCAGAATATCAAGGCAGAAAATCCCACAATATCTGCTTTGAACTGGGTTCTCTGAGTCCACACAGCCATATATTCCAGTTCAAAGCAGAAAATGTGGGATTTTATTCAGCTGTGTGGAAGGGACCTGAGTTGTTAGACTGATATACCTGGTTATCTCTTTGAACTGTCAGGAACAAAGATATGCCAATGCACAAAATATATAGCAGATCTTCAGAAGTGTTATTTCAGTTGCCCAAAAACAACTACTCCCCCATTAAATATATTGCTTTTAAATAATGCTCTCAAGAGACCAAAAACAGATAGTCTTTGTTAAAAGTAGCATAGTTGATTTACTTACAAACTTAATGTATTCAGTATACAGGTACATTTCTTATTGGTTGGGAGTTTAAACAGTAAGTTCTCTAAAGCATTCTGTTTCAGTTTCTTCGTTGCATACAGACTAACACTCTGTTCAGTCTAATACAATAATTATTAATGGCTGAACATTGACACAATACACAGTGACACTAATACTAACCTATTGTGGGGTATTTGTTGTTTTGAAAGGCAAACATTTGTCTACTGTAAGACGCAATGTGTGAGGAACCCCCCACTATTTCTATTGTGATTTATTTCACTTGTGTAGCAAATGCAAGCATGCTGAGTTTCCTTATTGTTACAGTTAGATGTGATGTTACAGAGTGACTATACAATCTGAAAATTAAGTATCTTGTGACAAAGAAGGATAATGTTTCTTTAAACATAGTCCCCCATCTCCACTGTCATGACATGCTGTTTGAAACTGCGTTTTTTTCCCATGTCAGGAGCGATTTGAGAAACTGCAAGTCACTTCTGGTGTAAGAGAATTGACCGTCTGCAAAGACATTGCCCAGTAGACTCCCTAGTGTTTTACCATCCTGTGGGAGGCTTCTCTCATGTCGCCACATGAGAAGCTGGAGCTGACAGACAGAAACTCACCCCGCTCCCTGGATTCGAACTTACGACATTTTGGTCAGTAGTCATGCCAGCACAAGGGTTTAACCCATTGCACCACCGGAGGCTCCCGAAACTGCTTTGCGTGGTCAGCATAGAGTTGACTCATTGAATACAGTTTGAACTGTACTTTCAAGCTGCATTCTATGGCAGTGTAGATAATGGGACCATAATCTGATAAAATAGTACCTGATGCAGGAAACCTCTGTGGGCTATACATAACTTGTTGCAGAATGCCTAACAAAGTCTTACCAACAGTGCAATCCTTTCTGTTTCTACACTGATGACAAATCAATTTGGCTTAGATTAGCATGTATCGTGTTTCTTTGGAGCACCATATCTAACCATATCTAACGTGCATGCCTTCCTCCTGTCCTGGCAAACCCAAAAGAGGGAGGTGTTATTAAATGCCTCCAGGAGGAAAAAAAATGTATTGGACTCTAGTACAGCTTTGCACAAATGTGGAGTTTGTTTCCAAAAAGTACCAAATCCATCTGAACAAATGTCACAGGAATAAAAAAAAATGCAGAGGATATGCAGTCTTTGGCTATAAAATTCAATTTTCCAAACCCTGTACCAAAGTGATTTGATGTTTTGATCTAAATAATATTATATTCCTAGCCACCAACTTGCTGCCACCTATAACTCATGTTTTGCGTGTTTGTGTGTGTGTGCGTGTGTGTGTGTGTGTGTGTGGGGGGGATTTTAGACCTTTTGGAAACAAACTCCAAAACAAGGATGTGTTATTGTCATGTACATATTTCCAATTTCTAGCAAACCTAAGTTGTTGGAAATTAAAACCTCCTTCAAGCCTTCTCTGTATATAATATGTTCATCTATGATCTTGTTGCTTTCTGTTTCCTGTATGTATGTTCTGTTATGCAGCTTCCTTTATTCTATGGTCCCTGAGAAGTTATAAAAAGAGTTCCAGACTACATGATCAGAGACTTCAGACTACTTCAGATTTCGGATCACACACTTGATAGCTGTTTTGTTATAAGAGAGATGCCCCGCCTGGATGGCACAGATAATTATCTCAAACATATCTGAAACTGGACTGATTAGTTTTGTGTATGCTGAACACATGAAGGTTGTGAGTAAACCAAAAATGTTATTTTTTTTATCAAAGTGTACTTTGTTTTTATCTCTTGAGTGCATTATATAAAACAAATGGTTTTATGGGAGAGTGTAAATTTTGGGCACTGAAAAACACTTCTAAAACTCTTATATTTTTATGCACTGTCAATTCTCTGTTTTTCTAACAGATTGGAGAGAACGGGTTATTCAGTCTAACAACTGAAACCATTGCCTTGCATAATGATATCTGGTTGTATACCACAAGTGATGATTCTACTCTAAAGGTTTTTAGGCTCTTTTCAGAAAGGTCGTGCTTTTCTAAAAAGTTATGATCTCCAAAAGGTGTTTTCCAAAAGGTTATAAATGTCATTTTCCAAAATAAGGAGAATTTATTGTGTTTTTTTTATAGGAAGATTTGTTCAGGGGAGGGGGGGTTGCCTATGCTTTCCTCTGAAGCTGAGAGAGTGTGACTTGCCCAGTAGCTAGGTTTCCTAGCTAAGCTGGGACTTCCAATTCATTGCTCAAACAACTATGCCATGCTGCTTTCAGGAGGTAATATTTACATCAACCCATACAAACTTTTATTTGAAAGGTAGAATAATATTCTGCTACACAACCGTGTGAAAAAAATTACCCTTAAAATCTGGAATTTGATGGCAAGACGAGCATTGCACCTTTTGTTTTCAAAGTGTTGATAGCTTAGACCAGTGTTTCTCAACCTGGGGGTCAGGACCCCTGAGGGGGTCGCAAAGGGGTGTCTAAGGGGTCACCAAAGACCATCAGGAAACACAGTATTTTCTGATGGTCATGGGGATTCCATGTGGGAAGTTTGAGCCAATTCTATCGTTGGTGGAGTTCAGAATGTTATTTGATTGTAGTGAACTATAAATCCCAGCAACTACAATTCCCAAAAGTCAAGGTCTATTTTCCGCAGACTCCACCTGTGTTCACATTTGCACATATTGAGTATAGGTGCCAAGTTTGGTCCAGATCCACCATTGCGTGAGTCCACAGTGCTCGCTGAATATAGGTGAACTACAACTCCCAAACTCAAGGTCAATGCCCACCAAACCCTTCTAGTGTTTTCCTTTGGTCATGGCAGTTCTGTGCAGCAAATTAGGTTCAAAATTATCGCTGGTGGAGTTCAGATTGCTCTTTGATTATAGGTGAACTATAAATCCCAGCAACTACAACTCCCAAATTACAAAATCAATCATCTCCCAACCCCACTAGCATTTACATGTGGGTGCATTGGGTATTTGTGCCCAGTTTGGTCCAGTGAATGAAAATACATCTTGCATATCTGATATTTATATTATAATTTATAACAGTAGGAAAATGACTGTTATGAAGTAGCAACAAAAACAATGTTATGGTTGGGGGTCACCACAACATGAGGGACTGTATTAAGGGGTCACGGCATTAGGACTGTTAGGAGACACACACTGATTATGCCTTTTAAAATAATATACGAGGGTTGAATGAAAAGTAATGCCTTCACCTGGCTTAGACTGAAAGTTCATGAACATATGCTTTCCCTCCCTCTCTCCACCCAAGATTTATGGCCAGGATGTCCTAAACATGTGTGGAGTGCCTCTGATTTTTAATGCAAATGCTTCCCTATCTGTCTGGAGAAGACTGTGCTTCAGAAACAACGCATACTCTCTCCCTGAAGGCTAGAAAATCCCTAAAATCTGGTGTTATCTTATCTCTGTCTCCCAGGTTGCCTTCATGAGTCATAACTGGACCTGCAGTGGCTGTTCTGGATGAGAGCCAGTCTAGGATTGGATGGCAGGTTGGACCAGTTTGAGTCGTCCCCCCCCACCACTCCTGCCCCCCCCCCCCAGCAGTTAACCTGGCTTTTAGCAGTAGTCTGGAAAAAAAAATCAGAAAAACCAATGTTGCATTAGACTGTTTGTGACATTGAGTGTTTCAAAATTGAAAGAGAGGAAAAGGACCCAGATGTTGGAATAGGCTTATTTCCTCTCCCATTTCCACATTTGTTGCCCAATAGTTTCATAACCATATCCTTCTGCAAGCTTAGGTTCCCCAAAAAGAAGTGAAATGTGTGATGAAGAAGTGCTGATAAGAGACTGCTTTTAGCTATTTCTGAAGTTCAGCTCTTATGTACAAGTGGTTTGGAAAAAAAGGAAGGTACAACTTGAAAAATTAAGATAAGTGATTTGTTCTTGGTTATTCATTTCCAGGAGGAAAGAACTGGCACAGGGTGTGAACTGTTTCTTCAAGACAGAATATCCCGGAAGCAGAAGAAATTGAGCCAAACGTCTGGCACAACCAGAGCATTTGGATACCGAGTGAGTTCTGTTTTGTTGTTTTGTTGCCATTCCTCTCCTGCCTTGTACCAGACAGCCATTCTGGCACGTTTCCCTTGAATTCAGGCTCCTGCTGTGTTCAGTGTTCAAAAGTGTGCAGAGGATTGCTGTCCAAGTCTAGCATCGCAAATTTGTGGGGCTTTAGTCTTCCATCAGTGAGATTTTCAGTCTTTGCTGGAAAAAGAATGACATCAGTGACGCAATTTAGCAGTTGCCAGATTTCAAACATCTGATGAAACAAAATTAGGTGAGAACGGTATTAATTATCAATATCAATGAAAAGGGGACAGTTGGTTTTAGACTCTTCTCTGTTTATCAGAATAGATGTACTGCATTTTTTAAAAAAAACTTTGCATTTTGTGAAGGAAAATCTATGTAAAGGGGTTCATTGTTCTTTGAGCATACAGTAGTGGCAGTTTAGGCCCATTAAATCTGGTGCCAAAAAGGGCAGGACCATTAAATGTAATGCCAAGTATAGCTAAGATATTTAATCCATTCTCCAATCATGCCTTTTTGGCCCTTGCTTCTCTTTGTCCAGCAACTGAATAGCTGCTCTGAAAGAAGTTACCATTTTCTACTGGAATACTGCTAATAAAAATAAATTCTGTCAGTTGACGACTTATGGTCAAGAAACAAACACCTACTTGTGTTGTCGAAGGCTTTCATGGCTGGAATCACTGGGTTGATGTGAGTTTTCCGGGCTGTATGGACATGTTCCAAAAGCATTCTCTCCCGACTTTTCACCCACATCTATGACAGGCATCCTCAAAGGTTGTGAGGCCTCACTAGCTCTGAGGATGCTTGCCACAGATGCAGGCGAGAGGAGAGAATGCCTCTAGAACATGGCCATATAGCCCGAAAAAAACCTACAACAACCTGTTGGAAACTAGGCAAGTGGGTTTATATATCTGTGGAATGGATTTATATGGATATACATTCATATATGGATATATATTCCATCCATACATAGAAAGGATATACATTCCACAGATGTTTCGCTAATAATAATAATAATACTTTCTTTTTGTATCCCATCACCATCTCTCCAAAGGGACTCGGGACAGTTTACATGGGGCCAAGCCCAGTCAAACAGACTTAAAATAACTCAATAAAAATACATATACAAACATCATAAAAGCATGATTCATCATACAGTAACTATATCTATGGCAGGCATCCTCAGAGGTTGTGAGGTTTGTTGGAAGCTAGGCAAGTGAGGTTTATATATCTGGGGAATGTCCAGAGTGGGAGAAAGAAAAACTCTAACAGCTCCCAACAAAGGATGTCTCAAGGCAGGAAGCAGCCAGGCTTTGAAGCTGCAAGGCCATTCAGTGCTACTCAAGGTGACCAGTTGCAACATTTACATGCCTCCAACAGACAAGAGTTCTTTCTCTCACCCTGGACATTCTGCAGATATATAAACCTCACTTTCCTAGTTTCCAACAGACCTCCCAATCTCTGAGGATGCCTGCTATAGATGTGGGGGAAACATCAGGAGAGAATGCTTCTGGAACATGGCCATACAGCCTGGAAAACTCACAGCAACCCAAACATGTTCATTTGCAAACAGTATATGTGTGTATGTGTGTAAAATGAATCTTTCCTGGCACCTCACTTATAGTTCGAGCACAATGAGAAATGTAGTATATCTCGGAAACAGGTTATTTGTCCAATTGATGCATGAAGGTATACTATTATATTTGGAAAATCCATGAGCTTTCTAAAAACTAGGAAACCAGGCAAGGAGATATAAACAGCTTGAAATGAACCAATGTAAAATTAGTTCTATTTTCTTACAAGTCAGACTAGCATAAATCAGTACAATTTCTAAGCTCTAGTTTTAAACACATTATTCCTATTGGTAGAATAATTGTTTAGATACTTAGATGTAAGCTTGTCTTTTGACACATTATTCGACTTGAGAGGAAAACCTGAAGCTCTGATGTAAATTAAGTCCTTAGTTATCTCGCTGGCAAAAAATGTTTCCGGAGGGCGCTGCTTTTCAAAAACATGCAGCTCCTGGGCAAATTCACTGAAGACAGAAGTAAATCACCACCAAAGAACACAAATCATTAAACAATCCATTCCCGACACTTACACAAATTAGATATTTTAAGGTGTTACAATGTGTCGGGATGTCGAATGGCTTTCTTTTTCTCTGCCAGATACAATAAGTTCGAAATGCCTAGAGAGAAGGATTAGGATAGGGGGAATTTCATGGTTGCTTTGCTTCCTAATCTTCCTACTGCCTTAAAGATTTTAGACGGTAGAGAATGGAGAGGAGGAGAAATGGTGAGCTGCTGCTTAAAATTAAATATGGGGCAGGAAGGCGATTTGCTCGCTTGGCAAGAGACCCTCGGGCAGCCCTTGACCTTTCAGGCCCTTTGAAGTTTAAAGGGTAGTGTTATCCTTCCTTCCCACTTTATAAAAATAGAGTTATTCTGAATATTGATGTTATTTTCTGTTTTTCTATATTATTGTCTTTTGGAAACTAGAAAGTGGGATTTATATATCTGTGGAATGTCCAGGGGGCAGCCAGGCTTTGAAGCTGCAAGGCCATTCAATGCTAATCAAGGTGGCCAGTTGCAACATTCACGCTTGCCTTGGGCAGACAAGTGTTCTTTCTCCCATCCTAGACATTCCACAGATATAGAAACCCCACTTTTCCAATATACCCCTGAACCTCAGAGGATGCCTGCCACAGATGTAGGTGAAACATCAGGAGATATGTACTGTCGAAGGCTTTAATGGCCAGAATCACAGGGTTGTTGTAGGTTTTTTCAGGCTATATGGCCATGTTCTAGAGCAGTGTTTCTCAACCTTTCTAATGCCGCGACCCCTTCATACAGTTCCTCATGTTGTGGTGACTCCCAATGATAAAATTATTTTTGTTGCTACTTCACAACTGTAATTTTGTTACTGTTATGAATTGTAATGTAAATATCTGATATGCAGGATGTATTTTCATTCACTGGATCAAATTTGGCACCAATACCAGATGTGGCCAAATTTTAATACTGGTGGGGTTGGGAGGATTTATTTTGTTATTTGAGAGTTGCAGGTGCTAGGATTTATAGTTTACCTACAATCAAAGAGCATTCCGAACTCCATCAATGATAGAATTGAACCAGACTTAGCATACAGAACTCTCACAACCAACAGAAAATACTGGAAGGGTTTGGTGGGCATTGACCTTAAGTTTTGGAGTTGTAGTTCACCTACATCCAGAGAGCACTGTGGACTGAAACGATGATGGATCTGGACCAAACTTGGCACGAATACTCAATATGCCCAAATGTTAACACTGGTGGAGTTTGGGGGAAAATAGACCTTGACCTTTGGGAGTGGTAATTGCTGGGATTTATAGTTCACCTACAATCAAAGAACATTCTGATCCCCACCAATAATAGAATTGGGCCAAGCTTCCCACACAGAACTCCCATGACCAACAGAAAATACTGTGTTTTCTGATGGTCTTTGGCGACCCCTCTGACATCCCCTCATGACCCCCCCAAGGGTTGAGAAATGCTATTCTAGAGGCATTCTCTCCTGATGTTGCAGGCGAAATGTCAGGAGAGAATGCCTCTAGAACATGGCCATATATCCCGAAAAAACTTACAACAACACATCAGGAGATAATTCTTCTGGAACATGGCCATACAGCCCAGAAAACTCACAGCAACCCAGTGATTCTGGCTGTGAAAGCCTTTGACAACACTATTCTCCATTGTGCTTCTCACCATCACCTGCTTCAAGGAGTTATGTGTTTGAGGGATCAAATAGAGGCTATTATTGAATAATTTGCCCTGCCTTGCCTCTATCTTGCTTATGTCTTCCTTATCTTAAAAGTCTAACAGAGGAAAATAAAATTTAGTTCAATGGGTCTTATTTCTAGTAAGCAGATATAGGATTATTGTGTTATTGAGCGATTTGAAAACATGCAAATGTGAGTAGATCAATAGGTACTGCTTCGACAGGAAGGTAACAGTGCTCCATGCAGTCATGCCGGCCGCATGACCTTGGAGGTGTCTATGGACAATGCCTGCTCTTTGGCTCAGAAATGATGAGCACCAACTCCCAGAGTTGGACACGACTGGACTTAATTTACCTTTACTTTATTTGGAAAGACTTGTTCAGAGGGCAGTTGACTTTGCCTTCCTTGTGCCTTAGCTAGTGTGTTTCCATGGCTTAGCAAGGATTCAGACTCTAATCCAGTCATGGGCAAACTTCAGCCCTCCAGGTGTTTTTGGACTTCAACTCTCACAAGTTAAAGGCTAAAACACCCGGCGGGCCGAAGTTTACTCATGCCTGCTCTTCTCTAGAGTTATAGTCCAACACTCACACCACTACATCACATTGTAGTTTTTACTATGTTGTTTCTTTTTTCCCCCAGCCTTTGCATCATGTATACAGCTCTGACCTTTGCATTCTTCCTTCTGCTGGGTCTGAACTTCCCTAAAGCAAAAGGCACGTGTTACTTGACTCAACAGCACTGTGTGTGTTCCCTGTCAAAGTTGAAAACATTCTTCACTTGCCTCCCAGCCACCACATATGAACTTCGAGGTGGAAACCTATCTCAGTTTGCCGGCTTTTCTAGAACTGAACTGGATGCAAATGAAATTGACATTCTGGAGGCTTTGCTGGTAAGCAAGCTGATATTTACAGATCTAATTGTGCCAGAATTTTTCTTGCCATTAGCCTTGAAAGTTGTTTCCTACATACCTCTGGTCTCTGAACTGGAGTTTGTAAACTGTACTTTCCTTAGATCTGCTGACCAGGTTGGTATAGATGGGTTTGACCTAAAAGTTTCTTCTCTGCGCTTCCATAAAGTGACAGCAGCTCCTTTGGACGACAGACTTGACATATCCAGCCTGCAAAACTGGCTGGAGACATTAGAAAACCTGACAGTAACAGAGTCACAAGTCACATCTATCCCTTGCAAAATTAGCACAGTGTTGAAAGCGCTGCACTTTTTAGATCTTTCAGGAAACCATTTCCAGGACCAGGCTCTGGAGACATCATTCTGCAAAGGTGCTTTCTCACAACTCCAGGTGCTAAAATTGCATGGGAACAACTTGAGCTCTTACGAGACGGTGTGCCAGACTCTTGCTCACCTCAACCAACTTACTCACTTGGACCTAAGTCAGAATGACTTCCTGCCTGGAACACCCTTCTCTTCTTGCTCATGGCCTCAGTCACTGCGTGTCTTCAATATGTCCAGCACAGGATTAGAGCACATGGACATAGCTTTACCACCTAACACTGAAGTATTAGATCTGAGCAACAATCGCATTTTTATCTTAGATCTCTCCATCCCTGGGCTGAAAGAGCTCTACTTGTCCAACAACAGGCTGCAGACCATCCTCTCAATCAAGAGCCTTCCAGGTTTGGAGGTCCTCAGTATAGATCATAACCAGCTCTCACAACTCCCTGCCAAAGACCTGCATTGGAAACACCTGAAGAGCTTAAGAGCTGGACTCAATCCCTACAACTGCTCTTGCAAACAGACTATCAGAGAGATCCAGGACCTGGCCACCCACAAGGCCTTGCTGCCTGATTGGCCTCATGATTATATATGCAGGTCTCCCCCAGACTACCAGGACTACCTCTTGAATGAGGTGCCTCTCTCATCGCTGCAGTGCAACAAGGCGTCAGTGGTCAGACAGGGCTCAATAGTCATCTTGCTGACATGCCTTCACCTGGTCCTTGGTTTGGTCTCACTGCCAACATATAGAAGCCGATTTATTGTCCTGTAAACAGGGCAGCAAATAATGCTTTAGGGTTAACAAACTTAATAAGAGGGGTTTTTTTTGCTGGAGAATATTCTATGTCAACACAGTTTTAACTATGTTATTAATCTATTTTGTTATAGGTTTTTTGGGATATATGGCCATGTTCTAGAAGCATTCTCTCCTGACGTTTCACCTGCATCTATGGCAAGCATCCTCAGAGGTTGTGACCTCACAATCTCTGAGGATGCTTGCCATAGATGCAGGTGAAATGTCAGGAGAGAATGCTTCTAGAACACGGCCATGTAGTCTGAAAAACCAACAACCACCCAGTGATTCCAGCCATGAAAGCCTTTGACAATATAGTTTTAACTATCACTGCAGATGTGTTTTCTGCTGGACCATTTTCTTTTAAAAAGAAAATTATTTTGTAGATCAGTTTGACTTACAGCTTTATTTTTACCGATTTGGGGAAAATAAAATTACTAATCCCTGCCCTTCCAGTCATGAAACAGTGTCTTAGTTTCACATTCAGAGTTGTGAATGTTAATGCTATTATATTCATTATGCTCCAATTAAAGCAGAGAAAAGGAAAGGAAAAAGGTGATGGGTCATACAATGAAGTATTGCTTCAGAATATTTTGATGATTCGCCAGTATTATTGCATGTGTAATTTATGTTAAACCAAAGAGATTGATAGTTTTAAAACACTGGATAGACAACTCAAGTTCTAGAATCTTCTAGCACACATTTAGAATCCCAGCCATGATGCATGGAAGTATTCTTTTTGAAGTTGTCTACAGATTTGTTGGACTGATGGAGCTCTTCTACCTCTTTGGGAATTGTGCCAATGCTAACAGCTAAGAAACATTTAATATTGTAGTAGAGTAGTGATAAGGAGCAAAGGATGGAGTAGGACATTCATTTTACCCTATTTACATACCATGGCACTCCATAGGTCTAGTTTCTTCTCCTGAATAGAACGTAAGTCTTAACACCCTCTGTCAGTGTTCTTAAGTTTTTTGGAGAAGAAGAATTCCCCACTTCTCCATTTGATGACCTAAGCCAAAGGGTTCATTGGTATGACTTTGGAGACTGCTGGATAGGTATGGTGGGCTCACTGAATCTGTGGGCTCATGTGGATTCAACCTAATGCAGATTCAGATGCACACAATACAGGATGTTGGAGTTTGTAATGAGGAGCATGCTAGCCATCTCCTTCTGCTTTCAATGTGACAGGGTTTCTTTGCAAGAGAGAAGCGGGCAACAGGATGACATCACTCCTGCCCTGTGCCATTTTAAGTAGGCGCTTATAAGCCTTGACCTTGCTGCATTTGTCTATCTCCCCTGCCTCTTGAAGAATGCATGCCTAGTGAGATGTCTGGCAGGTGAGGCTTGCCTCTGTCTCCTCTGTTGGCCTATATGCCATTTTTAATAATGACTTGAGCATGTGTGGGGTCTTGAAACCAATGCCTATAAATACAAAGTGCCCACTCTGTTTTGTGGCAGAGGATCAGAGGCTGATGTGTTCCAAGATTGACCTCTTCAGTGTTTTCCTGTTTTAAATTGACATATTCTGCTCCTAAGGGGTGGTCTTGGCTTTTGCCTAGGGCGTTGGGGTGGGGTGTGCACTTCCTCCTGCACAGAAATACTTTTTTTGCATATAGGGCAATTTTGCATTATTTTTCATTTTGAATACTGATAGAGATGGTAATACATAGAAAAATCAGGGGGGGGGGGCACACAGTTTTTTTTAAACCCCCCCCCCCCCCCCCCCCCCCCCCACTTTTTCCCAGGCCTTACCATCTCAAACCCTGGGGAGTCTAAAGGGGGCTCAACATTTCTAACTGGGGCAAAGTACAGGCAGCACACAACTCCCCTGTTACATCAGTTTCACTGGCTGCCAGTCTGCTACCGAGCACAATTCAAAGTGTTGCCTTTAGCCTATAAAGCCCTAAATGGTTCCAGCCCAGCTTATCTGTTCGAACATATCTCCATCTATGAACCATCTTGGAGGTTAAGATCTTCTGTGGAAGCCCTGCTCTCAGTCCCACCTCCTTCACACATGCGGTTGGGAGACAGGGCCTTCTCAGTGGTGGCTCCTCAGCTCTGGAACTCTCTCCCCAGTGAGATTAGATCAGCGCCCTCCCTCCTGACCTTTAGAAAGAAAATACAGACATGGTTATGAGACCAAACCTTTGGCTAGTAAAATAATGCAGTGCAAAGAATAATTAGGAAAGATGTGCAATGACAATCGGAATGACCACGGTGTACGGTTTTTAGATTATGTCGTTTTAATATTTATACTAGAATGTTTTTAATGCTGTTTTCATGCTTAAATGTTGTTTATGTTCCATGTTTAATTATTTCAATGATTTTAATGTATAATATGTTAGTGTTTAGTAATGATGATTTTTTCTATCTACATGTATGTTGTCATTGAATTTTTGCCATTAATATTTGTAAACTGCCTTGAGTCCCTGTTGTGATGGAGTCTTGGTTGTGAACTAATAAACTTTACTTTTACTAAATACTGGTGCTTTAAGGGGTCTGTCTTGCAACAGCCCCCCCCCCCCCCTCCAACTAGGGTGGGAAAGGCAGTATATAAATATAGTAAATAAATACATAAATAAAACGTGCTGGAAGCACACCACAGTGATTTCAGACATTTTTGTGCAAAATGACCCCTGTGGGATTGCACTTTCCCACCTCTGCATTGGTGGAACATTTAATAAGACAATTTCTGGCCATTTGTTTAAAGAGGGAAAGCACGCTACTTTAGTTTCACAAAACAACAATGATTTAGCACATTTTAAAAACCGAAACAGAAAACATTAACACAGCAGGAAGCATAGGGCAGGAATATATTTTATTTGAAGTTCCCAATAATATTTTTCAAAATTATGAATTTCTAAGTTGAAACAAGGAAACCCTGCTGGGCAGGCATGCTGAAATAGAGCAGCATTGACTGTGAACCATCGCTGCAAAGTCATTAACTGCTCATGTATCAGATGGTGTCTTCCAGAAACCTTACATAAAAGTTCTTTAAAAAAATGTACAGCCCATCATTGCACAAGCCTGATGAAAAAGACCTTCACAATAAAATAAATACAGCTTCTTTATAGGCAAAACCGATTTGCCGTTCTGACGGATACAGACGACCTTAATAAGGAAAATCAGCAAATCGGATTTCTAGGGTTGACAACATGTTCTTCTTTTGATTTCCTCAACCAGTTTTCCTCTGCAAATATCCACCTACAAAACAGAAATATAATTAAGCTAAACAGTCAGTCCTCTTCCCCGGTATGTTTCACACACCTCTACATCTTTTGAATGTCCTACATATGCAGTTTTCTGTGCTCTAATAAGCTGTCCCGCCAGCCTACATTTTCCGTCAAAACAAACCTGCCACATTTCTATCACTTCAAAGCAGATGGTTTGCATTTTGACAACAGAAGTGCATGTTAAGTTTGTATCTACATTTCTCACTCATTTCCACTAGACACCTGAGAGACAGTTCAAAGCTCCGTGTGTCTGGAGCAACAGGCCGCACAACTGTTTTTGCATACATTTTGGGATGTGACAGGATGGGGTTATTAGGTTTTAGAAGTAATATGGGAAGAGGAAGCTGCCACCTAACATACCTAAGCAAACACGATTTTGAAAGACAGCTCCCAAAACAAATCTGTGCAGTCCTTTCAACATCTTGGCCTACATTTTAGAACAGACAAGAACAGCCTTGTTGCATATCTAAACTACTGGGTAAGTATTTCCTGATGTTACAGTATGCAGCTTTTGGTGTCCCATCCTTTTTTCTCATTGCTACTGTTGGTGAAATGAGGATGTAGTCTGAAGCTGTAACAGGAAGTACTAGACTGGAAAGGAATGGAACAGTTGTCCCTATGGAATGGTAAAGCAACGTAGACTCTAAATATGGTTTATACTTAGTAAGAAGTTCTCTTAGGTGGTTTACACCTTATTTCAATCCCCTTTGGCATTGTTTCCCTCGTGAAAAAACTGTAGCAACTCTTAATAGGCAGCAACCAGGGGTTTCAGTTTAAATGCAGAGTAGGATGTAATTTTAAAGAGTATAACACAGTTTGGGGAAAGAGATTGCAGCCAGCATTAATTTTTGATCTGTATATTCACTATGGGTCTCGCTACCCACTTGGTTCAAAAATACAATGCAGAAGTGACCTCTGGATGCAAATTCTAGCCTTTTGTGCTGGGGTTAGTTGGGAGAGGGCAGTGGTTCCCAACCTTCCTAATGCCGTGACACCTTAATACAGTTTCTCATATTATGGTGACCCCCAGCCATATATTTATTTTTGTTGCTACTTCACAATGCAATGTTGCTACTGTTATGAATCGTAATGTAAATATCTGATATGCAGGATGTATTTTCATTTACTGGACCAGATTTGGCAAAAATACCCAATACACCCAAATTTGAATACTGGTGAGGTTGGGGGAGGATTGATTTTGTTATTTGGAAGTTGTAGTTGCTGGGATTTATAGTTCACTATAATTCAAGAGCATTCTGAACTTCACCAATGATGGAAGTGAACCAAACTTGGCACAGAGAACCCCAACAGAAAATACTGAAAGGGTTTGGTGGGCACTGGCTTTGAGTTTGGGAGTTGTAGTTCACCTACATCCAGAGAGCACTATGGACTCAAACAATGATGGATCTGGACCAAACTTGGCACAAATACTCAATATGCCCAAATGTGAATACTGGTGGAGTTTGGAGAAAATAGACCTTGTTATTTGGGAGTTATAGTTGCTGGAATTTATAGTTCACCTCCAATCAAAGAGCCCCTTGAACTCCACCAGCGATAGAATTGGGCCAAATTCCCCACACAGAACCCCCATGACCAACAGAAAATACTGTATTTTCTGATGGTCTTTGGTGACCCCTCTGGCACCCCCTCACGACCCCCCAGGGGTCCCGACCCCCAGGGTGAGAAAGACTGAGAGAGAGGTATTTGTGAATTTGGAGTGGTGACTAAGGCCCCTTCTACTTCCCTATAAAATCTAGATTATCTGTATGGAACTGGATTATATGGCAGTGTAGACTCATATAATCCAGTTCAAAGCAGATAATGTGGATAATCTGCTTTGATAATCTGGATTATATGGCAGTGTAGAAGGGGCCTAAATTTTGTGGGACATTTTTAATCTGAATATTCCAGGGGGATGTTGGGGCAAACAGTCTGTTGACTGCAGTTTGTCCAACCCTTGTATAATGGTTGGATGATGGACTAGATTCCAATCACATTAAGGCATTCACGGGGCCCATTCCTCATCTTTCAATGTAAATGTATTCTTCAATATAAAAAAGGAACTGTAAAAAGAGTGGAGAGAAGCAGGCATGCCACACTGACATCCTTGAAGGAAGTTCGGATATGACTGTGCGGATCTATATATACCTAAGCGTATGTACAGGATGTTTCAAAATGATGAACCCAACTTCGATATAGTTCACGATAGGAACATGTTACAATTACAGAAAAAGTTACAAATGGTTTTCAAATTACGAAGTTTTGTGCCAGAAACAAATTGAGAAAATTACTCTGCAAATGGAGAATATCTCATTTGGCTTTATGTTACGAATGACTGAGGCCAGGGGCTGTTTGTGCGCTGGGAGAGGCATCTAGCAGTATTCCTTTGAAACTCTATGCCCCACCCTTTAAAGGAGTAAGAGTTTCACTCATGGGCGGTTCATAGCAATTTCAAATTGGGATAATCTTTTTTAAACACCCTGTATATCTATGCTCCTTCGAGTCGCTTGACTCATGACGACTTAATATTTTACAGGTATTTATGGTGTATGCACAGTCTCTTGTGGTACAAGAAGGGATTCCATTGTTATGCTATGTTCTTGCTTTCACTCTCTTCCTAAGACAAAGGAAAAGACTCACCTCTTCTCTTGTCGCTACATCTCTCAGTTTGACCACTCCATCCTTTAGCTCTTGCTCTCCCAGAATGGCTACAAGAGGAATTCCAGTTTCCTCACAGTATTGCAACTGATTCAGTAGCTTTGGGTTTTTCTTATACAACATCTCTGCCTGGAAAAAAAAGATTAAAAATTATGTAAGTAAAGCTGGAGACCCATTCCCATTGTTTAAATATTTTGGACTTCTGAACTGAGTGTAATTTCAGGGAGTATTCTCTGTTCAAATGAAATGGCCTTTATTGAACAATAAAAAAAAACATAAACATGTCCCTCAGCAACACACCAGTATCTGCAACTGACATTTGGGGACATTTTGTCAGATAAATTGATACTCCCTGACGGCAACATTTTTTGCAACAATTGTTCTGTTCACATATGCGTCCGGAGCACTGCCTGCCTACAACTTGCCCACATGGACTGCAGCGCCCAGCTTCCATTCCTCCAAAACATGCTGGCTCTCCAAATAACAAACAAAACCCCTTTAAATGAAATTATGCTAGCTACAGGCCTCTATCATCTCTGTGTTTATTTGCATGGTGGCTACAGAACTGTGATACTGCTGGACTACATATTTTCATAAGTTGGAACCAGTCATTGTGTTTGAGACACCTGAAAAACACATGACAAAGACAGCAATTTGGGGGCACTCTTCCTAGTTGGAAGATACCAAACAGGCTTGAAATAAAGAAATGCTGAGGATATCATAAGGATTATCAAGGTGGCACCTGAAATTTTGGATTAATGTATTAAAAGGAGATTAAAACAGGTGCTACAGTATATCAAACACTCCTCATTCCTAGTAACTGAACTGCAAAGACAGAGTGTTGCCTGGTCTGTAGTCACTATTCTGAGCTTGACCCTGATGCACTGCTGTTATACCTTGATTCCTGAATCCCAGAGTTCAGACACAAGCTTCAGCCTTTCTTCAAGGAGCTTCTTCTGAGCAGATGCCACAAGCACCTGGGTCTCTGTTGTCCGGATCTTCTCCTCTGAAGCCTATAAGCAAAACATGAGTTTTAATAATTACCTTTGTGGAACTAGTCACACAAAACCCATGCAAGGTCTGAGGAGTACTGGCCTTTCTGCACCAAATGGCTCTCATGGGGCATGGGGCCGACAATCACAAGACATCCATTTTATCAATTGTTGATTATAACGCAGAGGGAGGTGCATGTCCAAAGAAATAAAATCACTGATCTAAACTTGGTTTTGTACTCCAACATACAATTTCTGGAAAGGGAAACAATGTTCCCATGAACTGATACGTGATTCCATAGAGCAATTTATTCTGGTGAAGTAGCCAGCAGCCTTCCTCTGTGTGTCCTTCCTTGGCTTTTTACAGACCTTTCGGAAATGGCACCAATTTTTCCCCTATTAGCTCTAGTCTTTCAGATAGATAACATATGCCATGTACCGGGGTCCTCAAACTAAGGCCCGGGGGCCGGATATGGCCCTCCAAGGTCATTTACCCGGCCCTCGCTTAGGGTTGACCTAGGTCTGAAACAACTTGAAAGCACACAACAACAACAACAATTCTATCTCATCGGCCAAAAGCAGGCCCACACTTCCCACTGAAATACTAATAAGTTTATATTTGTTAAAATTGTTCTTCATTATTAATTATTGTAATGTTTTTAAGTGTTTTTGCACTACAAATAAGATATGTGCAGTGTGCATAGGTATTAATTCATGTTTTTTTTTCCAAATTATAATCCGGCCCTCCAACAGTTTGAGGGACTGTGACCTGGCCCTCTGTTTAAAAAGTTTGAGGACCTCTGCCATATACCATATAAGCTGCTTTGGGTCTCCTTGTGGAGAGAAAAAGCAGAGTATAAATAAATGTAAGCATTTTAATACCAACTTCATTTGCTCACCCATAAAAACCCATGGCAATTCTGTCCAAGAAACTAGAGCTGAAGAGGTCTACTCAATGTAATTTTCTGAATCATAATCACAAATAACCTCAGGAACAGACCTAAACACCAAGAATTATTATTATTTTTTGGTTGGGCTGTGTTACCAACATGGCACAGATACCAACTTGAATCGATTCTGCACTTCGGTAACAACTGTATATAGGAAAACTGCTACATGATTATGTAATTTTAGTTAGAAAAATATTCAACCTATATATTGATGTCTGATGAACTAGGTTTTGTGACCAAGATTATGGATTTTGATATGATCTGTGGATAAGTGGAGGGTCATCCCACAGAGAGGCGAAAGCATCAATCCCGCCCAAGGGGTCTGATGCTCTTGCCTGCTGTAATCATTTTCCCACTCACGCATTAAAAAATCACAAGGGGCCAGATCTGGAGAGTAGGCTGGCCACTCCAAATCCGCTCGAAAAGTAGGCCTCAATGGCAAAAGCACGCTCCTCACTGTTCCAATGATGGCGACTGAACTGTGTCAGGACAAAACTTTATACTTTATACTTCAGCCTCTTGAACAAGACCACTAGCACTCCGCTACGTCTTCAACTTTAAAAAAGGAAGTTATGCTGCCTCACCCTGTAGCATCATATATCTGCACCCTGATTATCAGGTTACCCCAATACTTTTGGTCATACACTTCAAAATCTTGGACAGATAGATATCCACGCCATGTAACTTCTGTTAGCCTAAAAACCTTATCTTCAATTGTCAGAACAGAGTGGCTGCAAAGCTAGGGAAGTCCAATGGCTGCAGACTTAAAAAGAGTTTAGGTTAGTCATTTGTATTGAGCAGACTTGCATGTGATGTCAGACAAACCGAGGAGAGAAAGCAGAAAGCATCCCCTTACCTCCACCTTTTGTTCCATGATGGAAAAGATCCGCTCAATGCCGATGCTGACTCCCACACAGGGCACCTTCCGTCCCTTGGGGTCAAACATCCCTACTAGTCCATCATAACGGCCACCTCCAGCCACGCTGCCCACGCCAACAGACTCCTCTGTATGGTCGTTTTGCTGCTGCAGGAGGACAGCCTCATAGATGACTCCTGTGTAGTAATCCAAGCCACGAGCCAAACTCAGGTCAAAGGAGACCTATAGAATAGGTTGGGAACCTCATCAGTAGGAAGAAAACGCTCAAGGCAAATGATGAGATGAACAGTGGATCTACCTCACTTACCTGGTCTGAAATGCCAAAAAGGGCTAAGTACTCAAAAAGCAACTTCATCTCCCCAAGACCTTCCATGGCTTGTTTGTTCTGCATCAATTTTTGGTCATGGAGCAACTGTTCAATCAGACTCAGGCCACCTGCACAAGTGACAGATGCAGGATATATACAGTGTGTGAAAGATACACCAGCACCAGTAACAACCTTGAAAAGACCTTCCATCTAACTCAGTGCTACACTTTATTCAATTTTTTGACTTGTCTTTTTTTTTTAAGATATATGTTAAATGCCGAGGAAGAATGGGAAATGAGGTATATTAAACAGGGTGTCATACATAGGGAAATGGAGAATTGTGGCTAAGTGCATCTTTATTTACAAAATATTAATTACAAAATTATTCTCATTATGATGATGTTGACTCTAAAGTATCTTTTTTTTTTTGTCGTGTCAGGAGCAACCGCTTCTGTTGTGAGAGAATTGGCCGTCTGCAAGGACGTTGCCCAGGGGACGCCTGGATGATTTTTGATGTTTTATCATCCTTGTGGGAGGCTTCTCTCATGTCCCCGCATGAGGAGCTGGAGCTAATAGAGGGAGATAATCCGCCTCTCCCCGGATTCGAACCTGCGACCTGTCGGTCTTCAGTTCTGCCGGCACAGGGGTTTAACCCACTGCACCACCGGGGGCTCCTCTAAAGTATCTGAAAGTATAAAATATAATATGAGCTTATTTTTCCTATGTTTGGGATATCTTTGTATTTACATAAATGAACTCTCGACATTCAATGCACTTTACTACTTTAGCACAGTAATAAAAGTATCACAATTATTGTTACTAGGTCAGTGGTGCAGCAGGTTAAACCACTGAGATGCTGAACTTGATGACTGAAAGATCGGTGGTTTGAATCTGGGGAGCAGGATGAGCTCCTGCTGTTAGACCCACCTTCTCCCAACCTAGCAGTTCAAAAACATGCAAATGTGAGTAGATCAATAGGTACTGCTTCTGCAGAAAGGTAACAGCGTTCCATGCAGTCATGCTGGCCACATGACCTTGGAGGTGTCTATGGTCATTTCTAAGCTCTTTGGTTTAGAAATGGAGATAAGCACCACCTCTCAGAGTTAGACAGAACTAAACTTAATGTCAAAGGGAAACTTTTACATTTACTAGGCCGAGGACAGGGTTTTTAAAATTCGTATTTTAAACATTTTACAGAAAAAATATAACGAAGTAGTACAATGAGGTGTACTGAGTTTGTGCTTCCTGATTATCCAGCTTAAAAAAATACAGCTGATACAATAAACAGCAAGTGTGGAGAAGGGGAAAGAAGACTGTCATTTTTATTTTCAGAAATTAAAAATATGCCCTCTCTTGCAAAGAATTTGGACTGGTCTTGGTAATGTTTAGTAGTCCTTCTCAGAGGCCTTTTTAAGCAGCTCCTGGGAAGATATATGGGCTAGCTCCAAATGGTAAGAACATACTGTGAAGGGTACTATTTACTATCCACTTGGTATTTGAGACAAAAATTGTGTCAGATTCCCTTTTGAATACTATGGCACTGTAGGCAGCCAAAAAGCACATCTATACCATCTCACCTTAGGAAGTGCACAGGCTCTCTAATAGATTTGGACACACTTTTGGGTTGTGTGACATCTGGAGACATAAAGACCACCATGTTGAATGTGAATTCCTCATGTTCTCCTGCCCCTTTTCAATCTTCTATAGCACTGCTTCTTAAACTATGGGTCCTGACCTGAAACGGGGTCCCCTTGTTTATTAATTAATGTTATTTATTACAGTATTTATATTCCACCCTTCTCACCCCGCAGGGGACTCAGGGCGGATTTCAATGTACATATACATGGTAAACATTCAATACCATAGACACACAACATATATAGACAGACACGCAGAGGCTTTTTAACTTTCCAGCTTTCATGAGGGTATTCTGGCCACCAGGGGAGCTGTCGTTTCATCATCCATTTGTGACACTGATGGAGTACTTCCTTATTCTTTTTTGCTTGCTTGCTGGAGATTTTATGGCATCGTAAATTAGTTAAATTAGTCTCCCCGCATAAGTGGTACCTACATTTCCTAGTTGACAAATGCAACTGTCTTTTGGGCTGCAAAAGTTGACAGCAAGCTACACAATGGTCGGAAGCTCACTTCGACTGGGGCTGGCTTCAAACTCATGACCTTTCGGTCAGAAGTGATCTTAATGCAGCTGACTCCCACCCAGCTGCGCCACAAACCCAGTGCGCACCAGTCCCCTTCACTCAACGTTGAGGTCATGAAAATTTTGGCCCTCATTTACACCAATCTCTTAGCAACAACTAGCAGTGTTTACAGCAGACTCTGCAGAAAATGTTTCAGCTATACTCCACAAAAAGAAAAATAAGCCATTAACAAGCCTTGCAAATGCTGATTCGTTATCAGTAAATGTTTGATTTTATATATTTTTTATATACCTAAAAATAAAAATCACATAAACATTTATCTTATGGAGAACGTTTAAGAAGCCCTGTTTTATGGAATGGCTCAACTTGCAAGGCTTCTTTTTCTACATTATTTAGATCAGCCTGCTTTCCCCAGAACAGAAATGGCACCTGCTTTCACACTCACCGTGAAGCTTTACATATCCACCAATATTATCTGCAATTTCTGGTGAGAGTCCTTTCTCGCCGACCATCTCATTTTTCACATCCTCCCAGCTCATCTGCAGGCAGAACAAGAGCTATGTTGACCTTGCTTTGCTATTTCCAGCAGCATTTTCCCCTTCTCATTCTATGCTGACTGCCTGGAATCTACATCCTTAGTTAAAAAGCCTTTGGCTCCAGAAAAAAAGTCAGAATAATCTACACAGTTCCTGAGATTAAATGCAACCAGGAAAGCAACTTATTTGTCACCACAGTTTGTGTTAATAAGATGCATTTTATGTGTGGACAGATATCACTTTCCTTCTCTTTCTTTCCCTTAAGAGAAATGAGAACATTTGCTGTATGGGGGCTAAGTTGTGGAACTACAGTGTTCTCCTGATAGGGTTGTTTCCAACAATCAGGAATACATTTTTCCCATCCATGTCTGGAACTGGGGTCCTTAGTGTTTATGCAGAGCTGACATTAGACTGGTCTAAGACTGGGATTCATTCAATACTGTATGGCCTGATTCACTTGCTAGAGCTGTAGTTCTCAACCTATGGGGACAGGCTGCTTAACATGGTACACAAATTATGCTTTTGCGTATAGCGCGCATCTTGGGAGGGGGGTGCTCTTGAGGAGCTCTTGAGGTGCCCCTGCCCCAAAGAACACCATGAGGCAGCTCGCTCTCCCTACCTCCTTCCCTCACAAGTGCCCATTGTGCCTCTCCTCCTCCTCCTCACAGGGCAAGGGAGAAAAAAACACCAGCGTGTGTTCCTAACTTCCTAACACCAGGAAAGGGATGCGCAGCGGTGTTGGTGGGCACGTGGGAAAAGAGGAAAAGAGGCATGAAACCATACTGTTTTTTGAATGGATTGGAATATTGGGTTGCTGTGAGTTTGGCCATGTTCTAGAAGCATTCTCTCCTGACGTTTCGCCCATATCTGTGGCAGGCATCCTCAGAGGTTGTGAGTTCTGTTGGAAACTAGGCAAGTGAGGTTTATATATCTGTGGAATAACTACCAGGTACTGTTTACCCACAAGCATCAAGAAATTACATATATTAGAAACCAACTTTCTCATTACTTTATTTTCAAGATCACCAGACTGGATCACAGCAACGCGTGTCAGGGGACAGCTAGTGTGTGTGTGTGTGTATATATATATATATATATATGGATGGCATGGGACAACTTCGGCCCTCCATGTGTTTTGGACTTCAACTTCTACAATTCCAAACAGCCAGTAGGAAGTTCCAAATACCTGGAGGGCCAAAATTTGTCCATGCCCCTATATATATATGCATACATATATATATACACATGCCCCTATATATATATGGTTTGGGGGGGGGGCGGCGCCAAAACACTGTTTGCTTACCATTGAAAATTACCTAGGGCCGCCTCTGCCTATGGGTCCATAGATGTTTTCGCCTACAACTCCCAAAAATCCCAGCCAGTTTACCAGGTGTTAGGATTTCTGGGAGTTGAATGCCAAAACATCTGGGGATACACAGGTTGAGAACCACTGTGCTAGAGTAAGGAACCTGGTGGAAGCCTTTACTAAAGGTATGGACTGCTGTGGCAGTGAAGGAATTGCCTTGGCCTCCCTTGAGATCCTAGAAAGCCATAGCTTCCTAATTCTCCAAGTGTTATTGCTCCCAAATGCCCTTCGATGTGCCATATTTCAAGTCCTCTCCTGATTGATTCTTGTCTGACAGTAAATAAAGAACAACATCAAAAAAAAAAAAACCAAACAAACAAGGGAATTCTAGATAAGAATCAATCAGAGCCAGCTAACACCTCCCAAAAAAGGATCTCCAGGGAGCAACCAGCCAGGCTTTGAAGCTGCAAGGCCATTAAATGCTAATCAAGGTGGTCAATTGCAATATTCACACTTGCCTCCAGAAGACAAGAGTTCTTTCTCCCACCCAGGACATTCCACAGATACATAAACCTCTCTTGCCTAGTTTCCAACAGACCTCACAACATCTGAGGATGCCTGCCATAGATGTGGATGAAACATCAGGAGAGAATGCCTCTGGAACATGGCCCGGAAAACTCACAGCAACCCAGATTAAGAACAGTTGTTATAGCTAGAGTTGTCATATTGGTAGCAATACAAATGAGTCTAACCTTTGGATTATACAAAAGAACTCACCAAATTATAAATATCAAGGAATGGGAGATGCTAAGAATGCCCAGATGATCATTTAATACTTAATTTGTGATTAAGCATCAAAACAGGTAAAATCAGATGCTAATAAGCTGGAGATGAATCCCGAAAGGAGCTTAAACAGGATGACACAGATTGCAGCCTCCCTCCCTCTAATAAATGAAATAGGGAAGTTCAAATGGGAAAAAAGGCAACTGAGAAAGAAAAACTGCAATATATTCTCAGAGACAAATGAAAAATTGTCTGACAAGGAGGAAGTTGCTATGAGCAATGGATTTTATAGCAGAGCAGATGGTAGCTGTGAAGGATTTTATTGACAGTATTTTTTCCAGGATGGAGTGATGAAAGAAGAAATGAAAAGAGAGAGGGGTTATCTGCCTAGAAAGTGCTTAAAATTAAAACTATGCATTTGGAGGAATGAACTCTTTATAGGTTTATTTAGTTATATTAAAAATTGTATTATGTTTGATAGAAAACCCCATGTCAAATATGCACTTTTAAAGTGATAAAAAGATTTGATTTATTTGCCTTAGGAACAATAGGTTTGTCATTTGATTTCTCAAGGCATAAGATCTAGTATATAAAGATATTTCTGGGTTACATTAATTGTAAAGCAAAAAGTTGGATAAATATTTCATTTGCTGCGCAGAGATTAAACATAGTAAGATAGCCATATTATAAAGAAATGAGAATTTATAATTCCAGATATTTTTATTTTCTATTACGCTGAGAATTCTTGGATGTATTTTGTCTTTTTGTAGTAAAAACGTAATGGAACCAGCTTCTCCTCATCAGCTCTTGTTTCTGAGATACAGAACATATGACATATACCAATCGCCGTCGGCTCTTTCATAGAAAACCAGGATAATCATATCTAAGAAATTAGAGCTGATGCGATCTATCCAACACCATTTTATGAATCAACACCTCAAATAAATCTAGAAACAGGCCTAAAAATGTAGATTTTTTATTGAGCTGTGTAATATGGTTACTTTATTATGTACTTATTATTAGAGAAAGTAAGGTAAACTGCGGTTGAAAATAAGTTATCAGCTGGAAGGGAAAATGTTGAGAGTGAGTAGCTGAATGTTTGAGAAGATGTGATTATAGGTGGAATCAGGTCGGGAGAGATCTAAGTTAGAAGGAGAAGCATGAGTTTGTCAAGGTTATAATTAATCATGGGGAGAGACGGGGATTAGTAAGACTCAGAACAATTAGCTAGGTTTAGCTAGGATTATGCAGAGATGAGTAAAGAGTTAGCAAAGTCCATTAGGATTTAGATGTACCTAAGTTATTGTTAACTATAAGTTGCATATCAGTCAAATAAATTATTTTTGTATTATATACCTGTATCTCTGGGAAGTTTACAGTAGTGCTATTGATCGAGTAGCCACTACAGATACATGATGTTTATAGTGACAACTATAATTCAACGACAATGATGTCTCCTTGTAAGATTATAGAAAGAAGAGTCCATGAACTACGGGGATATCCTGAACAACAAGTAGTGTTGTTACAAGTGAGTGAAGAGAAGACTGCTATGATAGTGAGACAGATACAAGTCAGTACAGCGGCAGCATGAAATATATTGCATTTCATCACATAATAATTGCACTTTTTAATCCCATGGGATGCGACTATTATACGATGAAAAAAAAAATCTGCCTTTGATTCTCCAGTTTCTTGTCTATTTTAAAAAAATAAACTGCCATACCTGCAAAATAGGAAGAGAAGGAGGAATGATCGAGACTCAAACAGCTCTGTTTCTGTTTTTAAAACTATGTTGCCTCAGAGGAAGGAAAATTCCCTCTCCCTTCTTTCCTTCTCCGAAGGCAAGGCACTTTACAAAATCTAAAATGGAGCTTTTTGGAGAAAGAAGGAAGGAAGGGGAAATCAACTCCAAGCAGCTCTGCAACTATTATACGAGGAATACAAAAATACCAATTTTGCCACTCCTAAAATGGGGGTGCTTTTAAAAAAAATGTTTTTGTTAATATTATATTTTGTTTTATGAGCAGATTTTGTACATTTAATACATATATACATACATACATACATACCTCTACCCCCTTCCTATTTCTCACTCTTCCTCCATTCTATATTATCCGCTCATTTATCGAATATATCTCAATTCTGTTCACTCTTGTTTTTTCCCCTCCCCCCTCAGCTCACCTCCCCGCCCGCCCCATACTCATACCACAATTTCTATTAGAACTTTAACTTCATCCATGAGCTCAACCCATCTCTGTACAATATTCACATTGGCTCTTTTTATTCATTCTATATATATCGACCATTTCTCTTTAATTTTTCTCATTTTATCTTCCTTCTTATCCTCACAGATTACACTTGCTATAATATCTGATTGGACCTGATCAAACAAGTAATTGTTCCAATTTACCATATTCCATTTTTTTTATCTTTCCAACCCCAAGCAATTATGGCCTTTCCTGCAAGAATCATCGTTTTGAATAAATCTTGATATTTTACATTGATTTTATTGTTTTCTAATATTTCCATCAACATCAGCTCCATATTTACTTGAAATGATATTTTGAATAATTTCTCCATTCCCAAAATGGAGGGTGCAACTATTATGCAGTGGTGACTATTATGCAATGAAATACAGTATTTCTATACTGGATCTGCAAAGAGCATTGGATTTGTCATTTCCACACTTTCTAGATGTCATATGTTCAGCTTCCTCCAGAACTCCCTATCCATCTCCAAGAACAATCAATTGTAAATTTTGCATAACAGGAAGAAATGTTTCAGGAAGGTGGATCCATAGGGGGTGATTATACTATTTCCAAGAGGCATAACCATTGGAGTTCCCCTGGATTAATCACACAGTGAAGAACCTAAACCACCAGAACAGTTTCTGATCACCTTGTGAGTTCATACTTTGTGTTTGCTCCTTTGGAAATATATGCTTTAAGTACTGGAAATACCATTTTGTTCCCCCCTCTTCAAATTCCCAATTGTCTAAATTATATGGTTCTCAGCCTAGGGTCTCCAGATGTTTTTGGCCTTCAACTCCCAGAAATCCTAACAGCTGGTAAACTGGCTGGGATTTCTGGAAGTTGTAGGCCAAAAACATCTGGGGAACCCAGGTTAAAAACCACTGATCTAGAGAATTAGATACAGTTTGTCTAGGAGTAACAGCTAAAAGAATGACACTGTATAAGCCCAGTAACACCGATCCCAAAACCTTGGAGAAAAAGTTCCTCTTCATGGTTTTCATTCATTTGAGGTTGGATCTATACTGCCATATAATCCAGTTCAATGCATTTACTGTGAATTCTGAAACTGGATTATATGGCAATGTAAATCCAGCTTGAGTCACTCTTGATAGTGTGGGGCAGCCTATGGTCCCTCTCAGCTTAAAGAGTTCTTACCTTATCTAGTTTGTCTACAGTAGAGCAAATGGTCCGGAATTTGCTATCTGGAACACCACAAACTGCAAACATCCCATCAAGGATACGCCGGTCATTGACCTACAACAAAATCAAATTGTTTTCAGTAGCATTTCAAAGTTCCTATTACTCCTTTATGGTGGGCAAAAAGATGGGAGAAGGATATGCAGCTGTTTCAGCCTCACTTGCTTCCTGGTTTTACTTTCAAGGAACCAGAATAAGTCTTTTTAATGAATGTGGCTTAGAGAACTAAAAGCAGTACAACTGAAACCAATTGTGTCACGGTCAAGTACTTCCTCCATCAACATTCTGTCAAAGCACAAGCTGTGATGGTATTACAGCAGAGTAGGAAGGGGCACGTAATTTCTGCTGCTTCCTCCATCATTAGGGAGAGGAAGCCCAAAGCTAGTTGAGCCTAAAGGACACTACAATCACATGCTCTAAAATACAATCTCAGCCTCCTGACAGGTACTTGAATAGAGGATAGGAAGCTACAGATATAGCAGAGACTTGCCATTTCTTGAAAAAACCATGCACAACAGTGATTAAATTATACTTATATCTTCCTCCCTCTATCCTAGCGGTTCTCAACCTGTGGGTCCCCAGGTGTTTAGGCCTACAACTCCCAGAAATCCCAGCCAGTTTACCAGCTGTTAGGATTTCTGGGAGTTGAAGGCCAAAACATCTGGGGACACACAGGTTCTATCCAATGGTTCCCAAGCTTTGGGCCTCCAGATGTTTTGGACTTCAACTCCCAGAAATCCCAGCCATCTTACCAGCTGTTGTGGGAGCGGGAGCTGAAGTCCAAAACACCTGGAGGCCCAAAGGTTGGGAACTACTCCAAGTTTACAAAAAAGAGTTTGGCGTCTCAAATCTTTCTTTGTGTTTGTATTTGGGGGGGGGGGGGGGGAGAAAATGCATTTTCATAATTTGATCTAAGTCAGGTATGGCTGCCTATTTTATGACTGCTATGAAAAGACACTTTCCAGCTGAGCTTGTGGGAGAAGCTACCATGATTTGGACTGATCAAGGATGGAAGGTTAACAAAGCTGATTGGCAACTAGAAATTCCATATGGAACATGCTTGTGTCTGAATTTTCTTAGGGGCAATTAAGTGGTGTCAGCTGAAGAGTGGTCAAAATCAGGTCTAGAAAAAGCTCAGGGTGAGGAACTCCAAATGGAAACCGTGCTGCAAAGTATTGGTGATGAAACTGGAAGCAGAGCTCAGCATTAGAAAGATCTCACCTGAGAAGTCCTCACCAAATTGTTCCCAAAACAGAATCATTGTGGAAAACTGCACAGTTTCTGTTCCCTATTGTGAAAGACTGGCTACAATGCAGGCTTAAGGAAATGTGGGCTGAGAGAAAAGCTACTAAAATGTAACATGCGGATATTACTTGCTTTGGTAAAGGTGTGCGGGGTAAGTTCTCATTAATTAGAAATACTTATCTTTGTTTGGCAGATTTACAACGGAAATCTGCAGCAGCCCCAAGGTTGTTCCCATAGGAGAATGGTACAGGGATGGCTAGGGGAGGTTATGATTAATATGCCAATGGGGAAAAGTCTACAAAAGAAGTACTGAACTCTGCACTGTCCATTTATTATTTGAATTGCACTGTCTATAAATCTATAATCAGATCTGACAACATCGGTAGTATAGTTCATTTCTTGGTCATAAAAGTACAAAAAACATGCAAAAATATCGTAGAACTGGGTGAGACACCAAGAGCCATCCAATCCAACCCCCATTCTGCCATGCAGGAACGCACAATCAAAGCACACCCGACAGATGGCCATCCAGCCTCTGCTTAAAAACCTCCAGAGAAGGAGACTCCATCACACTCCCAAGCAGCGAGTTCCACTTTCAAATAGCTTTGTCCTAGTGTGTATGTTGATTTCTTTTTCCTACAGTTTGAATCTGTTGCTAGTCTCTGGAGCAAGTTTGCCACATTTTCAACATGATACCCTTTCAAATATTTAAATATGGCCATCACTACACTCTTAACTTCTCTTCTCCAAGCCAAATATAACCAGCTCCCTAAGCCACTCCTCATGGGTCATAGTTTCCAGACATTTGACCATTTTGGTCGGACACATTCCAGATTGTCAATATCCTTCTTCACTTGCAGTGCCCAGAACTGGACACAGTATTATTCCTAACTAGCTGGAGGAAATTCTGTATATACTCGAGTATAAGCCCAGTTTTTCAGCCCTTTTATTAGGCTGAAAAAAAAAAGCCCTCCTCAACTTATACTGAAGTCTAGGTTATTTATTGTTTTACTGTTACTATTATTTCTATTACATTTATTATTTTATTTTATTATTATTGGAAGGATACATAAGCACATTTACACTGAAGATAAGAATAATGCTTTAATCAGAGTTGGACAGTCTTATTTAAATCAGTTTAATGTAAATATTCAAAAACCTACTGATACCTCAATTAATGTAATTTTATTGGTATCTATTTTTATTTTGAAATTTACCAGTAGTTGCTGCATTTCCCACTCTCGGCTTATACTTGAGTCAAGAAGTTTTCCCAGTTTTTTAGTGGTAAAATCTGGTGCCTCGGCTTATATTCGGGTTGGCTTATACTCAAGTACATATGGTAATTTCAAGATATGACATTCTCTACAGCGCCTTATCCAAACTATTTTAATTCATTAAACGGGACAAGGTTCCTCTAGTGTGAGACTTAATTCAATCCTCTTCACACTTTAATCTTTAAGATAGGGCTTAAAGCATGGAGGCTTTGGAAGAGGTTTGGACAGGATAAACTTTGAATTCCTTCCAGACTAACCGCTCCTGAGAATTGGTACTTAACTGGCTCCTAGGGAAAATCTGGGCCTAATCCTATAACATGCACACTCTTTTATGTACAAAAGCTTTAACTTTCTTTCTCTAGTGTGGAAATAGCTTCACAAGCTGCAAAATCTTTTTAAAACAGAGAGAACAAGGTTGCAGCTTTGTACATATATAAAGGCAAATACAAGACATAAGTAATTTCCCTTAATTCCTGTAGGACACCTGAAACACACGCACCAAAAAACATAACAAACAAGAAGCTCATATTGGGGAAAGAGAACATTTAGGCCATCAAATATGGAAAGGCATGGTGATGTATGTTGCAAATTAAGATAAAAGAAACCAAACTGTGCTTCTTATGCTATTTTCATTGAAAAACCCAAGATTGTTAAGCTGAAGTATATTTTCAATTTACATTTTTGTGAACAGCTTTAGAATAAAGTAAAGGTAAAGTTTCCCCATGTCATTAAGTTTAGTTATGTCTGACTATGGGGGGTGGTGCTCAACTCAATTTCTAAGCCGAAGAGCCGGCATTGTCCATAGACACCTCCAAGATCATATGGTTGGCATGACTGCATGGAGCGCCGTTACCTTCCCACCTGAGCAGTACCTATTGAGCTACTCACATTTGCATGTTTTTGAACTGCTAGGTTGGCAGAAGCTGGAGCTAACAGCGGGAGCTCACCCTGCTCCCCAAATTTGAACTGCAAACCTTTCGGTCAGCAAGTTCAGCAACTCAGCGATTTAACCCACTGCACCACCTGGGCTCCTGTCCTTTAGAATAGCATCTTTAAATAACTGAAGGGATATCGTGATGGACCGAGCTCTTTTTCTGTTGCTCCAGAAGTTAAGACACAAACCAAATGGATTCAAATTACAAGAAATGAGCTTCTACCTAAACAAGAAGAATTTCCTGATAGTAACAGTGGAAAAGATTGTGGTGAACTCTCCTCTATTGGAGGTTCTAATCCAAAGGTCTCCAAACTGAGGCCCACGGGTCGGATTCAGCATTCTAAGGTCATTTACCCGATCCCTGCCCTAAACTTAAGACTTAAAGTAGCCTAAATCTGAAACGACTTGAAGGCACACAACAACAACCCTAAGTCATTTAACTATCTCATCAGCCAAAAGCAGGTCCACATTTTCCCATTGAAATACTGTCAAGTTTATGTTGGCTAAAATTGTTCCTCATTTTACATATTATACTGTTCTTTCATGTTTCTGCACTACAAATAAGATATGTGCACTGTGCCTAAGAATTCATTCATGTTTTTCCCCAAACTATACTCCGCCCCCTCAACAATCTGCAGGACTATGAACCAGCCCTCTGCCTAAAAAGTCTAAGGAGCCATCTCTCAATTGTGCTTTAAGGATTGATTCTTATTTATTTATGACATTTATATGCCGCCCTTCTCACCCCAAAGGGGACTCAGAGCGGCTTACAAGTAAAAAGTAAATACAATATATTATATTATTATCATAGCACAATATTTATATTATATATTACATTGTACTATATCATTATCCTGTAATATTATTAGTAATATTACATTTAATATAAAATATATAATTATAATATCATATTATTATTCGTATCAATTATTATTGATAATAATATCAATATTATATGTCTATACAATATATTATATTATATTATATTCACAGTGCAGGAGGTAAGATGGAACTGCCTTCCTGGTCCCTCTTTTCACTCTGATCTCATAGCAGCGGTTGGTGGTGGAGTAGGGAGGCTCCCAACTGATGACACTGGAGGCAAGATGGAACTGCCTTCATGGCCCCTCTCTTACTGGGCAGAAAGGTTGGGTTAGACAGCTCTCGAAGTCCTTTCCCTTATAAATCTGTGATTCTATTGTTCTATCGTATTCTATGATTCTATTTCTTATACTCACCTTAATGCAAAATTCTCCTATTTGTAAGGCACTCAGAATCTCATGCACAATCTTCAGACACTCTGCATCAGGAATCATGGCATCGTACTGGCCAGCAATGTCAAAGTCCTATGGAATGAACATAGAAATGAAAATCCCTAACATGGAAACTGCCCAGTAGGAGTCATGGCCCCTAACCGGATTCCTGATAATAAGGATGGCACTGGAGGTCACTGTCCCCCTTTTCATCACACCTTCCAAGCAGCGATTGCTCTCTTGTTTCTTTTTGGACCATAGCCCTATCTGTCATTCCAGCCCCAGCTTCTTTACACCGTAGCCTCCTTTTTGAAACAAGTCAGCATATCAATAGTAGTAACTATAATAACAACAAGAATAATATCACCAGCACTCCATTCTGGTATGGTCAATATAAAGGTTTTCCAAGTCCTACTGGAGTTTCGATTCAAATAGGGAGAAGTTATGACAATCAATAAAATTTGGGGAATGGGGATGGACAGATACCAGTTAGCAATAAGGGTCTTTAAGAGTTAAGTGGAACAAAAGTCAGGTAAAGATTGGAGGAAGGAAGAAACAATAGCCAGGAAGTCTGACATAGTCACAAATACCCAGACGGCACCCTGCTTGTACCTACACACTGATAGAACTCTCTGTAGCGGCCCCGGGTCATGGCTGGATTGTCCCGTCTGTAGACTTTAGCAATATGGTAGCGTTTAATATTGGTGATTTTGTTCATAGCCAAGTAACGTGCAAATGGGACCTGAAAAAAAAGGCTAAGGAAATGTTTTAACATTTAGTGTAAACACTTTAAATCCAGAGCTGGTCACACATTTAGTCTCCTGTTGGGTTCTGCCAGGACAGAGAGAGGTGTGTCCCAAAGTCCTCCCTCTGGCATAAACTGCAAGGAACCACCAAAAGATATAGCATTCACAGGGATTCAAGGAATCTTCTGAGTAGTCTAGGAGATGGTCCTTAAGCTCCAAGGTTTTAATTCTATCAAAGCAGGAGTACTGAGGCCCAAACTGTGATAGGATACAAGTGTTTTCCTATGAGCTATTCTAGTTTAAAGAGCAATATTAAAATATAATAAATAATAAAACTTTTTTTGTATCCCATCCCATCTCCCCTCTGGGGACTCAGGACAGCACAAAACAAAAATGGCAGCCATTAGATGCCAAAAGTACATAATAAACCAAATAATTTATATGACACAGGTAAACAATAGCAAATCAATAAAATACAATCAAATATGCATAAGCAAACACAAGACACCCCCATATCATCTTTCCAAGGGCTCACAAGATCACTGTACTTTGCTAGAGATTTGAGTTTGAAACCATCCAAAAATATGGTTTCTAGCAGCTTCCACAGTGGAAACTCTGAAAATGGCTGATCTCATAATAACCAAAGCAAATGGTATCAAATGATGCAAACACATGTTGTTTGGAAAAGGAGTGGGAAAAGACAGAAGACGGGGAAGCCAATCTCAAATATTGCTTGAAGTGAGATATCACCATTGTGAGGTATATATCCATTTATGAAGTGAAAACATACCTCCAAAATGGAACACAAGAACAATAACAGTGGAATCCCCTCTTCTTCCAAAAAAATATCATCAGATTGTGCAACATGAGATAAAGTTCCTCTGTGGTTCTATGATCTTTACCCTCTTTCTATGCTTGACAAAAGGACAGAGATAGCAAACATCTCTTTTGAAGAAATAAGCTGCAGAATCAAAACAATTCTCCAAACATTTATATACATGCTTAGCTTGAATAATGTATTTCAGTTTAAGACTGTGAGGCTTAAGCTGCCAAGCTAGGAATATTAGGTTCTAAGGATACAGTCAAATCATAGCGAAGAGACAGAAGTTCTCCCCCTTGGTCTTTCAAATCATAGATGAGCTTGGAGTCTTCTCCATATTTCCCTGTCAATGTTTCCTATGTATAAATATAAGACAAAAAGATGAGAGAAAAGTAAAATATAAGAGCAATATTGGGTACTATTAGGATTTTTAGCAGTCAACTGAAATTTTAGATAAATCAATATTTAGACTGAAATAAAGCCCTAAAACTGCATGGGAAACTGCATATAAATTCATATTCCATTGTTTATGTCTTTCTACTGCATATCTACAGGATCTTACAAATGCATTAACAAAAACAATGCAATCAACATAAAAAAATTAAATAGTATAATATATATCAGTGATACAAAAATTGAATACAGTGAGAACTAACACATGTAAGATTTCAAAACTACACATCAAAGACACTTATATGCTTTCACTTTCTGCAAGGGTCAATAAAAGAGGATGTGCGACAGATCTGCACTGGAAGGAGGCTCCTCAGCGATATAGTTGCCACAGAAAAGACCCTGACTCTTGGGGTCACATCTTAAGGTGGTGGTTCCCAAGCTTTTTTTTGACAAGGTACCACTCTCGAACATTAGAGCCAAAAGGGTTACGAATCCGTTTTTTGTCAACTTTAGATTTGGTTTGGGATGCTGATTCAGAAAATTGCATTGGATAGACCACATCAGCTTTAGTTTCTGACACAGATCATATGCCATGGTCAGCGACAGGGAAGGAGTGGAAATAATAAAATAAATAAAAGAAATTAAAGAAGAAGGAACAGATTTTCGTTCTCGTGGTCTGTGGGCCACAGGTTAAGAACCACTGTCTTAAGGTAATACAATAGTAAGTGCTCCCTTGGCTAACTAGCTGTGCATCTACACTGTAAAATTATTAGTTCATCTGTTATGGTTCAATGCAGTGGAATCTTGGGAATTGCAGTTTTGCAAAGACTAAAGCCTTCTCCAATAAAGACTCGCCAAACGACAGCTCCCACGATTTCATAGCACTGAGCCACAGCATTTAAAGTGGTGTCGAACTACATTTATTCCAGTGTAGATGCATTCAGAGAAAGTGTAGTGTGTTCTATGCAGCCCTAACCAAAAAAAATGCTGCTTCAAGTTCTTCTGAGCCCACAAAAGGCCCCATAATCTCTGCATTAAAAATCACACTCAAATGGCCCCAAAGCCAGAAAAAGTGTCCTCCAACTTGGTGGCTTATTTTCCACCAGGAACCACAATACTTCCCCCACCCATCAGACCTTGAAGCATGTTATATTGGATTTGTGTATCTCCTCATTTATTTATTTATGCAGTTATGAATATGCATTCTGGAAGATGGGTGGTGTTACGCTCTTTAACATGCTGATATTTCTTGCGTTAGTAAAGGCTTGCAGGACAAGTTCTCACTAATTAGGAAATACTTCTCTTTGTTTGGCAGATTTATGAGACCCTTATGGGAAACCACAGCAGTCCTAAGGCTGTTCTCGTGGGAGAAAGGTACAGAGGATGGCTAGGGGATGTTAGGATTAATATGTCAATGGGAGAAAGCCTGCAAAAGAGGTGAATGGCTGTGTGTTATTTGAATTGTGCTGCCTATAAGTCTAAGGTATAGGCAATACTAATCAGATCTGACGCCATCCATGGTACAGTTCACTTCTTGGTTATCTTAAGCAAAGTTTTACCAATTTACCAAAATAAAGAGATTGGCTAAAATTATAGAAAGTGGTAAACAGAAATAACTTCCAGCTACTTCTAGGGGACCTTCCAGACAGGCCCTATATCCCAGGATCTGATCCCAAGTTTTCTGTTTACCTCAGATTATCAGGCAGCGTAGACTCATATAATCCAGTTTAAAGGAGAAAACCTGAGATCAGATCCTGGGATACAGGGCCTGTATGGATGGGCCCTCTGTCACATTTCTTGTTGAGAGTTTAATGATATAATAATAATAATAATAATAATAATAATAATAATAAATATAACTTTATTTATACCCTGCCTCCATCTTCTCAAAGGGACTCGGGGCAGCTTACATGAGGCCAAGCCCAGCAATACAATACATCAATATAAACAAAACACAGCAATAATATAATACAAAAATCATTATAAATAGCACATCAACAATATAAAATCACAACATTTAAAACACAGAGATCAAACACTGTGGGCAGGGCCAATTCTATTGAATTAAAATTAAATTAAAAACACTGGGTGAGACAGCAATGTAATGTATCTGGACAGGGGTTCCAAAGGGTAGAGTAGGGTTGACTGCGCTCACAGGTAAAATAAGGTGCTTCCGAGGAGATTTTGCCAGAATTGGTCAGGTCAGGGAATTATTGTTCATTGTTTAGTGAAGGCAGACTGGAACAGCCAAGTTTTCAAGCTTTTCCGAAGACTGCTAGGGTGGGGGCTTGCCTAATATCTTTGGGGAGCGAGTTCCAGAGCTGAGGGGCCACCACAGAGAAGGCCCTTTCCCTCGGCCCCAAAAGTCGCACCTGCGATGGGGGTGGGAGCAAGTATTGGCTGGCCTTTTAAAATTTATTTACTCTGACATGGAAACCCACTGGGTCACCTTGGGCAAGTTACAAGTCTCACACTCTCAGCCTCAGAGGAAAACTATGGCAAACACTTTCTGAACAAAACTTTGCCAAGAAAAAATAATAACAGATTTATTCTTATACCCTGTCTCCCCAAAGGGACTTGGGGTGGCTTACATATGGCACAAAATGCCTAAAACAGAGCATTAAAACATACAATACAGTACAATAAAGTAAAACATATAGCATATAAAACCCCGTAACAGGATTGTCTTATGTCATATTAATTCAGAAAGGCACACAAGAACAGCAAATGTTTTTCCATCGTTTTTCCCCTGGTAAAAGGCAAGATGTGTATTTAAAAATAAACAAATTTATTCAGGTAATTGAGAGCACACTCCCATATACCTGAATGTGTAAATAAATCCAACAGTAGCTATAGGATTGTCTTTTAAATATTTAATTTGAGAGGCGATATTTTCCACATGACACAATCTTCAAAAATTTTCATCACCATGCCCTCACTTGCCATAAAATTACAGACTTACAATGCGGATTTCTAGATTAGATTGACATACCACCACTTTTGCTCACCTTGAGTTCAAACACTGGCGTATCTATTGTTTCAGCTCCATGGCGTTTGAAGCAATTGATGATGATGCTGAAGACCCTCTCTCGGATGGCCATCTGCTTCGGACTATAGTCCCTAGTTCCCTGTAAACATGAAACGGAAAGAATAAAGTCAGAGCGGGAATGGGGAATGTGGCCGGATGGCTACATGTGGCCCCAGCTGTATTTTGTGGTGTTTCAAGTCCATAGTCATATTACGAGGTCAAAAATCGGTCCCCATACCCTCCATGGTTGACAATCCAAGATAGAGAAGAACTCTGGCCCACTAAGCCCATGATATAGTCAGAAAAACAAAAGTCGCCACACTTGATGCGAGTGAAGAAGAGCCAGGGAACGTACCTTTGGTGTCTTGAGCACAAACTTATGCTTCCCATCCTCTGGGCATATGGTTGCCTTCATTTGCAAGAGCTTTGCAACCTGTTCTGCAATCTGAAAGAGAAGAATTAAACCAATATATAGGTTACAGCACTGTGACTACTTCACTGTTTAATAACATTTTTAATTAAATTTGGCACATGGATGTGACCCTCTCCTTGTTGGTTTCCAGTTGATTTGAGTCTTTTTCTTCCAGTCTCTCTTTCTAGAGAAAAAGCAGATACAAATACATATAGTAATAACTCCAAGCCAAGACACTCCCTTTACTGTGTTGTTGAAGGCTTTCATGGCCGGAATCACTGGGTTGCTGTGTGTTTTCCAGGCTGTATGGCCATGTTCCAGAAGCATTCTTTCCTGACGTTTTGTCCAGATCTATGGCAGGCACCCTCAGAAGTTGTGAGATCTGCTGGAGGCAAGTGTGAATGTTGCAATTGGCCACCTTGATTAGTAGTGAACGGCCTGGCAGCTTCAAAGCCTGGCTGTTTCCTGCTAGGGGGAATCCTTTGTTGGGAGGTGTTAGCAGGGCTTGATTGATTCTTGTCTGGAATCCTCCCCTTCCCCCCCCCCCTTTAGTGTTGTTCTTTATTTACTGTCATGATTTTAGAGTTTTTTAGTACTGGTAGCCAGATGTTGTTCTTTTTCATGGTTTCCTGGTCCCAGTGGTGATCGGCACACTGGGTGCAATGCCTAAAGACCTTGGCCTGCACTTAAACATAATCGACACTGGCAAAATTACCATCTGCCAGCTGCAGAAGGCCACCTTATTGGGATCTGCACACATTATTCACCGATACAGCACACAGTCCTAGACACTTGGGAAGTGTCCGGCGTGTGATCCAATACAACAGCCAGTAGAGTGTCTGCTGTGGACTCATCTTGTTGTGTTTCAAATAATAATAATCATCATCATCACATATCATTCAAAAATACATCACACAGTCTTAGATGCTTGGGAAGTGTTCGACTTGTGATTTTGTGATATGAAATCCAGCATAGAGATCTTGTTTGCTGTGACATGCTTTGGTTTTGTCAGTAATAATAATAATAATAATAATAATAATAATAATAATATGTGATCACTATATATACTATGGGAAAAAGCAAAGGGAGTTGCGGTGAGTTTTCCAGGCTGTATGGCGATGTTCCAGAAGCATGACGTTTTGCCCACACCTATGGCAGGCATCCTCAGAGGTTGTGAGGTTTGTTGGAAACTAGGCAAGTGGGGTTTATATATCTGTGGAATGACCAGGGTGAGAGAAAGAACTCTTGTCTGTTTAAGAAAAGTGTAAATGTTGCAATTGGTCACCTTGATTAGCACTGAATGGCTTTGCAGTTTCATAGCTTGGTCGCTTCCACATACCTCATACCCTCTGAGGATGCCTGTCATAGATGTGGGTGAAATGTCAGGAAAGAATGCTTCTGGGACATAGCCATACAGCCCAGAAAACTCACAGCAACTCTCTTTACTTTTTCCCATAGTATACATACTAACCACATAAATAATAATAATAATAATAATAATAATAATAATAATAATATCCTGCTTTTTCTTTCCATATGGAGACCAAATAGACAACACAAGTGTGGATATACAGACACATAGATTTCTAGATTTTTTTTTAAAAAGGAGACAGTTTAATGAGGCATAAGTGGTGGAAAAAGCAGAGCAATGAGCAAGGGCTTGCCATCAGAGAGGCCATCTACACTGTATGATTAATGCAGTTTGATACCACTTTGACTGCCATGGCTCAGTGCTATGGAATCCTGGGAGTTGTAGTCACACCCAAGTCTTTTAAGCCTTCTTTGCCTAAGAGTGCTGAGGCCTCCCCAATCTACAGCTGCCACGATTCCATAGTATTGAGCCATGGCGGTCAAAGTGGTATCAAGCAGCATTAATACTACAGTGTAGAGGCACCCAGAGGCGCAGGTTGTGACCTAGAGTAATGCCTGGCCCCCTCACCTCCTCCTGGCTGGCTTTTTCCTGCTTGAGGCGCCGAACCAGCTCCGCCTGCGCCCTCAGCGCCGACTCCCCCTCCGCCATGGCCTCCGCGCCGCCCGGCCACCAAGATGCAAAGAAGCGGCGACTCTGCTCAGTGCCAGCCTATACCGCAGTGCGCATGCGCAAGCGTCACCCCTCTCCCCGCCCCACGCATGCGCATTGCTTTACAAAGAAGCTACCCGCTCTTGCCTGTGTCGGGTGATGCAACAAGGCTTTGGGATGGCAAAGGAGTCAAAGAAGGGAAGTGACGTCAGTTCTGTAGTCACCCTGTTATCCCTGCCTGCATTCTCTCTATTGACCTTCCTTTCCCATTAGTTTGAATAATACAGTCCCGGATACCCCTGAAAGTCAAGCCAGTTCATAGAATCACAGAAACAGCTGGAGAGACTTGAGGGTGCATCTATTCAACACTGTGGAATTAATGCAGTTGGGCACCACTTTTGACTGTCATTGCTCTATGCTATGGGATGGTGGGAGCTGTAGTTTGTTGAGGCACCAGCAGTCTTTGGCCGCCTCTTTGAACTGGATTATATGGCTGTGTAGACTCATAATCAAGTTCAAAGCAGATAATGAGGATTCTATGGCAGTGTAGGCTCATATAACCCAATTCAAAGCAGATAATGAGGATTCTATGGCAGTGTAGACTCGTATAATCCAGTTCAAAGCAGATAATGAGGACAGCGTACCTGTCCGAACGTATCCTTCTACGTCCCACCTCGGAGTTTAAGATCTGCTGAGGGGGCCCTGCTCTCGGCCCCACCTTTATCACAAGCGAGACTGGTGGGGACGAGGGACAGGGCTTTCTCAGTGGTGGCCCCTCGCCTGTGGAATGCGCTCCCCGGGGAAATTAGGACATCAACATCCCTCCTCTCCTTCAGAAGGAACCTAAAGACCTGGATGTGGGACCAGGTCTTCGGGTAAGCTGGCAGATGGACAAAGACAACCAATAATGACCAGAGTAGGAAAGGACAATGACGATGCTAAATGGTTTACGGACTTGGATTTGGTGAACATTGACCACAAGATGTTTTTATTGATGCTAGTATACTGTTTGATTGTTTTAATTAGTTATAACTGTGATATTATATGGTAAATTTGTGTATTGTATATTGTATTGTATTTTGTAATTGTTAGGCATCGAATTGTGCCTTTTGTAAGCCGCCCTGAGTCCCCCCTAGGGGGTTGAGAAGGGCGGGGTAGAAGCACCCCAAATAAATAAATAAATAAATAAATTCTATGGCAGTGTAGGCTCATATAATCCAGTTCAGAACAGATGAGGATTCTATGGCAGTGTAGACTCATATAATCCAGTTCAAAGCAGATAATGAGAATTCTAATTCTAATAATAATAATAATAATAATAACAACAACAACACTTTATTTGTACTCCGCTACCATCTCCCCAAGGGACTCCGTGCGGCTTACATGAGGCCAAGCCCAAATACAACAATACAAACAGTAATAACAACAATACAAGCAATTAAAAATAAAACATGGACAATACAATAATGCAACATTAACAATAAGACCACACGATTAAAAACTATTCTATGGCAGTGTAGACTCATATAAGCCAGTTCAAAGCAGATCACGAGGATTCTATGCCAGTGTAGACTCAAGGGGCCTTAGGTCCCTTCCACACAGCCATATGACTCAGAATATCAAAGGCAGATAATCCACATTATCTGCTTTGAATTGCATTAACTGAGTCCACATTGCCATATAATCCAGTCCAATGTGGATTTTATACAACTGTGTGGAAGGGGTCCTAGTCAGAGGAAGGCTGAAGACCTTGAAAAAATGGAATCTCCAGGATCCCACAGTATTAAGATACAGCAGTTGAAGTGGTGTGGAGCTGCATTAATTCTACTGTGTAGACATGCTCCTCAAGGGGCACACAGGCCCCTTCTACACTGCCATATAATTCAGATTTTTTTTTGTCGTGTCAGGCGCAACCTGAGAAACTGCAAGTTGCTTCTGGTGTGAGAGAATTGGCCGTCTGCACGGACGTTGCCCAGGGGACGCCCGGATGTTTCGATGTTTTATCCTCCTTGTGGGAGGCTTCTCTCATGAGAAGCTGGAGCTGATAGAGGGAGCTCATCTCCCCAGATTTGAACCTGCAACCTGGTGGTCTTCAGTCCTGCCGGCACAGGGGTTTAACCCATTGTGCCACCGGGGGCTCCTATAGTTCAGATTATCAAACCAGATAATCCACATGGTTTGCTTTGAAATGGATTATTTGAGTTTACACTGCCATATAATACAGTCGAAAGCAGATAATCTGGATTTTATATGGCAGTGTAGAAGGGGCCAGGGGCTGGATCTACACTACCATAGAATCAGGTTTTTCAAAATTAATCCAGATTATGTTTTGAAGTGGATTATCTGACTCTGCACTGTCATATAATCCAATTCAAAGCAGATTAACTGGATTTTATATGGCTGTGTAGATGGGCCCAAGGGCCCTTCCACACAGCCCTATATTCTAGAATATCAAGGCAGAAAAACCCACAATATGGGTTATCTGAGTCCACACTCAAATAATGTGGGATTTTCTGCCATGATATTCTGGAATATAGGGCTGTGTGGAAGGGCCTTGGGGCTCACTTTTTACAACATTCACCATATATAGATTGTTGGATGTTGAATCTGGGTTTAGAAAAACATACTTTGGATAAACGACCACACCAGGGCTCCATTATCAGTTGAATAGCAAACCCATTGATTGATTATAGATCAGAGTTTCTCAAAATGTTATGGACTTCACCTCCCACAATTCCTAACACCTGGTATGCTGGCAGGGATTTCTGGGAGCTGAAGTCCAGAATATCTGGAGGAGCACAGTTTGAGAAACACCAATATAACTAATAAAAAAAATGGACCTGTTGTTAAATAAATGGGTGGGCAACAACATTTGACTATCATGACGCATAACCTGTATTCAGGACAAGAGGTTATTGTTAGGATAGAATATGTAGAAACAGAATGGTTTCCAATAGGCAAGGGGCAATATTATACTCTGAACCTCTTAAAACCAGATTAGAATCAATGGAAGAAATAGTGAAAATTGGAAGAAGAAATATCAGCTGCAAATGGCTTGCGTACTAGAAGCAGATATGGCAGCATGTTGCAAGCAGATAACACTATAACAAAATTTGATTTTTTTTCTGTTCCTGGTTTAAAAGTACTATTATTTTGTTTAATTGTGCGGTACTTATTTTGAAAGTAGTTGTTATACTCCTGAAACTTTGTTTTTGTGGCTGCCAAAAACTATGTTGAGTTGGTTGAGACTCTATGAGATATTCATTGAAAAACTATAGCAAAGTGTGCTGCAGGATGTCCTGCAAAAACAAAGCTTTTGCAGTTTAATAAACCTTTTTCATGTTTTTGATAGAACCAATTGGAAAATAGCATCTATAAGCCAGGAACAAAAACCATGTTACATAGTGTAGTAACAAAGATATGCTATGGCTTTTGTATCAACCACCGGGAGGAGTAATGAAATAAGCCCCCATGTTTCTGAGTGCTTGTGTATATGGGGAAAGGTAGTCATCTGTCGGCATCCCCTGTGGCCATCTGTTCAGACCCTTCCGAGTTGTGGATTTGAGGGTCCTGGTTTTCCATAATAGTTATCAAAAACGGACAGTGAAGAAAGCTGTCAGTAAGATAGAAATTTAATTTGAAATGTGATGCTGGAGGAGTGTTTTGTACACACTGTGGACTGCCAATTTTTTTTGTCATGTCAGGAGCGACTTGAGAAACTGCAAGTTGCTTCTGGTGTGAGAGAATTGGCTGTCTGCAAGGACGTTGCTAAGGGGACGCCCGGATGATTTGATGTTTTTATCATCCTTGTGGGAGGCTTCTCTCATGTCCCTGCTTGGGGAGCTGGAGCTGACAGAGGGAGCTTATCCGCTTCTCCCTGGATTCAAACCTGTGACCTGTCGGTCTTCAGTCCTGCGGGCACAGGGGTTTAACCCACTGCGCCACCGGGGGCACCAGGCTGCCAAAATGACAAAGCATTAAAAAAAATCTCCATGGAGATGTACTGTACAAGACAGAAAATGCTATGTCAGAAGTGGACACAAATAGATTGGCCTTCAAAATTCTCCTTGATAGCTATGGAAATGTAAGAAGGGGAGCTAAAGTGCTTACACAGCTGCTATGCTTAAAACTGAAGACTAAATTAAGTTCATTGTGCAATTTATCAACATAAAGATTTGACAACTTATGCAGTCTGAAAATTATGTCCATGCAGATGTCTGATTGGCTATGATCTGGTCATATCCATGAATAGACCACCTCTAAACTTACTAGGTAACTTCATGCTTTACGGGAAGTTGCCATTGCTTTTCTATTTCTTTCATTTAGCCAAACCTCAACCTTGCACAGATTAATGTACATAGTGTTCAAAACTTTGACATTGATTAAAATTATCACTGAGATAGACTGTATCATTACTTTCCAAAATATATGCAATATGTGTCACAATACCTCATTACATGCTATTACCCCACACTGCAGGGAACAATGGAAATCCAACAGCTACTAATAACTTTATTTTAAATAAATCTTATACTCCTTTTAAAAATATTTTGAGTTTCAATGCTGCAGTTGCCTGTAATGGTAAACTGTTTCTTTATCCCTTTAAATCTCTCAATACCTTGTGTTTAGTTATGAGAAAAATATACTAGAGGTTCCTAAAGCTTAGAATATTGCTTTAAATTAAATAAGACTCGAAACTGGAAATCAATTAACTGCCATAAATACTAATTGCTGAAATAGTTCAAGTCATTGAGTTACCATTAATTGATTCATTGATAATCATGATAGAGTGTAGGGCCAGACCCTGGGATTTACAAAGACAGGGATTTACAAAGAATGGCATGGAAGTTTTCGCTGTTGACATTAGGGCAGTGGTTCCCAACCTTTTTTTGACCAGGGACCACTCTCTAACATTAGTACCAAAAGGGTTATGAATCAGTTTTTGGTCACCTTTAGATTCAGTTTGGTTATTTGGGGTGCTGATTCAGAAAATCTCATTGGACAGATCACATCAGCTCTAGTTTCTGATACAGAACATATGCCATCCAGTAGTTGCCATCAGATTGCATA